AGGCGGCACTATGGCCTCATCTGTGGCTCTGAAAAGGAAGCTTTGGAAGGAGTTCATCACAGCTAATGTTTAAAAAGCCCCTGCTATGTGCCAAATTATTCACCCCTGGCCACAACCTAAGGAGCTAGGGATTCTTATTATATATATTTGATAGAGAAGGAATTGGAGACATAAAGACACGAATTGTCTTGCCCAGATCACTCAGTAAGTGGTGGAGGATGAATAGGACCTAACAGTGTGGCTGTGGGGCCCACATGCATTGATTCCACAAGTGTTTTATGAGCACGTGCTATGTTCAAGGCTTTATGTGATTAAACACAGTTATGATTAATAATATAACAATGACAAATCACTGACACTGTGTTGACGTAAGATTTTTTTTTTTTTAGGTTTCAGGCACAGAACTGTACATCCAATAGTGGTGAAATTGATCCCATTAGTTATGACAGAAATGATGATACATTTAAATGAGTTGGATGTTTTAGAGGTAATATCTCATGAATCCTTGACAGAAACTGAATGAGGAATGAAATTTATTGTTCTCATTTCACACAGAAGGAAACTGAGGTGAAGAGGGGTAAAGTAATGCATACTTTTTGCATGGCATGAAGTAGAAATCCAAAGTACAGGAATTTGAACTTGGTTCTGGCCTTTTCTGCGGCCCCCATGCTCTTGACCACTATAGACTCAAGCATCACCTTGTTTTTCCACTCATTCAACAAACATTTTAAAAATTTAATTATCTAATAGATTGGCACTCATTATGAGCTTCTGCTCCCATTTTGCAGGTGGAGAAGCCCTCTACTGTCGTGACCCCACAGTTCCTGTCCCATGGCCAGGGCCAGCTCACCAGGGAGCAGCTGCAGCAGCACGTAAAGTCAGTGCCGTCCCCCATGCGAGAACCTGAGGAAGGTGAGTAAGCGCAGACAGACGGGGCCTGGCGCCCTGGAACAGTTCCCAGGTCTCGGCTGCCCCATGTCTCACAGGGGACCATGCTGGGGGAAGTGTAGACAGTCACAGTACTGGCTTTTTCCTCCTTTTTCCTTCCATGGAAGTGGCTTAGGGATGAGGTAGAGTAGTTGACCTATTTGGGTAAAAACCACTATCTTGGTAAGAAACTCAAAAAGAATCATTGCTGGCATATTAACCTAAAGAAAAACAACCAGACAAGTGCCCAGCGGTACTTCAAAAGGCTATTTATTATCCTGCAAAATTTAGGCAGGGAGTTGTGGCTCATGCCTGTAATCCCAGCACTTTGGGAGGCTGAGTCGAGTGGATCATCTGAGGTCAGGAGTTCAAGATTAGCTTGACCAACATGGAGAAACTTCATCTCTACTAAAAGCATAAAACTAGTTGGGCATGGTGCCATGTGGCTGTAGTCTCAGCTACTCGAGAGGTTGAGGCAGGAAAATCACTTGGACCTTGGAGGCAGAGGTTGAAGGGAGCCAAGACAGAGCCGCAGCACTTTAGCCTGGGTGACAGAGGGAGACTCTGTCTTTAAAATACATACATATATATATATATTTTTTTTTTTTTTGAAACAGAAATCAATATCAGCAGCTTCTAAACTATTTTTTAACATCAATCATAATTAGAAACACATTTCCTATTACATATATGGCTCTCTATTTTGAAAATAATTAATAAAATCATATTATTTTACAACATGTAATACCTTCTTTATTCTCCTTCATTTGTTTTGAATGTTATGTGCAATCTACCAAAAGTCCAATAGTAATAATTAAATCATTCATTAAAGTAAACATTATCTTGTCATTTAAAATGATTTCATAAATGTTCTTTTGTTTTTGAGATTATGTCTCTGTGTGTGTGTGTGTGTGTGTGTGTATTTATATACTTTTCTCTTTTTTTTTTGAAAGAGTATCTCACTCTGTCACCCAGGCTGGAGTGCAGTGACACTATCTTGGCTCACGGCAATCCCCGCCTCCCAGGTTCAAGGGATTCTTCTGCCTCAGCCTCCCAAGTAGCCGGGTCTACAGGTGCATGCTCCCACCCCCGTGCAATATTTGTATTTTTTGAAGAGACGGGGGTTTCACCATATTGGCCAGGCTGGTCTCTAACTCCTGACTTCATGATCCACCGCTTTGGCCTCCCAAAGTTCTGGGAGTACAGGCATGAGCCATCGTGAGGGGCCCAAGATAAAAAATTTTTAGCAATATATTGTTAAGAGAAAAACACTGGAAATGAAAGAATATTCATAGTTTTATCCTATCTGTTTAAATAAAGATTGAAAGAATATGTATGCAAATAAGTTTACATTTTTTTGGTAATACTTTGCTGCATTGTCTGAACATTGACAATCACTATGAATTATGAAGTTCCATGGCTAATATAAAGTACTCACTGTGTGTGCCAGGCCCTGGGCCCAGTGCTCTACATGATTTTTATTTCGTTTCATTCTCTCCACTACCTGAAGTAGTATAACCAACCCATTTTACAGAGTTGAAACTGAGGCTCAGAGACTGAAAGTTAAATGCCTGAGGTTGCAGGTAACAAGAGGCAGATCTGGAACTGAAACCTACATGTGCCTTAAAACTAGTTTCTGTTCTGACAGTAGGCTAGTCTGCTTCACAGAGCATGGAATAGATGGTGCATGCCTGCTAGGATGGACCAGGTATCATTGTAGGTAATAAACAGCCCCCAAAATGGAAATTTACAGCACTGAAGGCTCTTGGTCTGCTCGTGCTGCACGTCCTCCATGGCTCTCCTGGGCCCTGTGCTCCACATCTCCTCATCTGCCACCATAATAAAAGAGCAGCCTCCATATGGGACCTCTCAGTGGCTGTAAGAGATGAGGGAAAGGATGGCCAGTCTGAATGGCTTCCAACTCTTTTACCTCGAGGTGACACACTTCACTTCCACTCACATCTCCTGAGTCCAAGCAAATCCCGTAACTACCTCCACCTTCAAGGGGCCCAGATGAGAACCTGAAATACTTGGTGGACTCCATTAGGGCCACCATATGGTGTCAGCCTGTGTGGGAGACTATGGAGGGGCAGAGAAGGAGAGTGGGGAATTGATGGGAAATGACAGCAGGACTGAGTCACCTCAGATTTGCTTTATCCTCAAAAGGTGGAGTTTGTCCCAGAGCTGCACAAAAGCAGCAGCAGCATGATGAAACAGGGTAAACTTCAGATAAAGCAGTTTGTTCAGATGTGATCAGTAGTGAACTCAGAATCAGCTGAGTGACACTGAGTTAGTAAATCTCTGACTGCCTCAGTTACCTTGTATGATAGTGGTGAAGATCGGAGCATTGGCAGAGTTCATTTGGAAGGATATCAGGAGTGTGGACAGTCAATGTTTTAGTTCCTTTAAGTTAAATCCAGGCACTATCTTTCCTGCAAGTCTCCTGTTCCTTTCAGATTGCACTGGTGAGAGTGCTCAGATTAGGCCTGGAGGTCGTGAAATATTGGCTCCCACACCAACAGTTCCCCTGTGTCATGCATGCATTCTGTGCATTTTCCTGTGCTAAACACTGTCCCAAAACATTGTGGAGCATGATTCTTCCTCCCTATTCCAATGGCCCTGGGTGACTCAAGTGCCCATTCAGTGACCAGGACACAGAGGTCTTAGAGTGATGCTCCATGAGGCCCCAGGTGCCAGCCGCTGCCCTGTGGAAGTGTGAGGCAGGGGACAGGGCATCGTCTGTGGGGGCAGTGGTCAGCCAGGCCTGGTGACTCTACTTGGTGGACAGATGATCCGACACCTGCCACCTCTGATGGATCCACTGCCTCTGTGGCTGTTTGTCCTGCTGATGCTCCAGTGGCTGCCCCCGCATCCCAGCCTAGGCCCAGTGCCACTGAAGATGGGCCTGCCCCTTGGGGACCCAGGAGTCCTACAGGACTCACTCAGCTGTCCCCAGGAGTCCCCAGACCCTCATTCTTATCAAGGACCTAGGATCCTTACCCCCTGGCCCTCCTTCAACAACAGCAAATGATGATTTACTGCTTTTATCATCATTACTGTGTTTAGTGGCCAAGGACCTTCCAAGGTACCAGTTCTGGAAGGAAAGATGTCCTTGGGAGGTGATGACACTCAGTACAGAGGTGAATGTTGCTTCCTCCCATCCTCAGACAGTCTTTGACACAGCCATTGACACTCCCATTATGTGGAAGGAAACCAGCCCAGGGTCACACAGCTGGTCAGCAGCACAGCTGGTTTCAAATCTAAGGTGCCTGGCCCTGCCTTCATGAGGGACCTGCCAGCAAGGGAGGTTGACCTTGGCTTTGAGGAGACTTTCCTGGGCTGCATGAGTTACCTCCCCTGTTTTTGAGGCCCCAAACTCTGCTCTCCTCTCCTTCCTTGCCCTGTCTCTGCTTGTACTATGATGAAGGTGACCCCAGCAACCCTCCATGGACATCATGGTACTCTCTGCCATTCACTTTGGGCTAATCTGATTTCAACACCCACTTACTTGGTCTCTCCTTTTCCAACCAAGACAACCCAAATCTGGGGCTCTTTATGCAGGTGACAGCAGACGAATAGAATTGAATGCCATAGTTGTGTTATCCCTGTTTTGTTTTATTTTGCTGTGTCTCAGGGTTATTTTTCTATTTATGGTAAAGGCATTGGCTTTCCATTTATAGCATGAATAGAATATTTGCAGTTTAAAATAGCTTTATGTCATAATAAATGGTAAAGAGACTGAAAGCAGTGATTTTCAGCTGCGAAAGGCCTGAGTTTGAGCACACTCTGTGTGATCAGGCAGAGACAGGCCTTTGGGAAGTTTAGGTGAGGATGGGGCCAGGAAAGGTGATGGACAGTGGGGGACTGGCCTGGTCACCAGACCCCTGTGTCCTGCCCACCTGCTTGGCACTCCCCACCCATCACTCATGATGCTGCCAAATCCTCTGGGTATTGTGGCCAAATCTCCCAGGAGAGAGGCTGATGAAGTTTGTCACTTGAAATGCACAGATTCATTGGACATCCCTGGGAGCTCAAGTGTGAGAGTCAACTTGGTTTTCTTCCCCTGATTATGGTTCAGAATTAAAAGTCCACCTTCACAGGCAGTAAGATAATATAGATAAGTGACACCATCACCCTGTTTCAGATGTTAACATGTTTAGGTGTGTTAGGGGTGCTTTCAGACCACACAACCTTGTGCCGCAAAGTGGAATTCCTGGGCCAGAGGGAGGCATTTGATAGCCACGTTATGATCTTCTCAATGAGTGTAAAGGCAGTCTTGTTTCATTTTGGATTCTTTCTTCTGTTGTTATCTTATAAGGGGACTTTGCACTTCCAAGCATATAATAATTTTTGGCTAGCTTTTAATCATTGACTTCTAGCACAATTCTGTGACCAGAAACCTGCTGTGTGATTAGATTTGTCTGAAATATATTGAGATTTGTTTGATGAACAAAATAAGTTGGGTTAATTTTTGTAAATGTACCTTGCGTGCTTAAAACCAGTGTAGCTCCAACATTTGTTCCTGAGATACAGGATGATGGACGATGGCTGCGTGGATGTGATGGAGATGCTTTACTGTTGGGACCTTCCACATCCTTCTGATGTTTTGTTGCTTAGAATATGAGTGGCTGAAAGGGAGCTGTAGAGCCTCCCACTCTGCTTGTGTGTGAGGTTCTTCCTGCCATCCCGCCATCATTTGTTTCTTATGTTTTGCAGCCAGGACTGACCATGAGAAACCCTGGAAGCTCAGGAAGGAAGGAGCCGCCAGAAGCAGGGACAGGGAGCTGGTGGGGAAGACCAGAAATGAGGTCTGTGAAGGTTTCAGAGAGGACCTGTCCTTGGGAGTCACGTTGAGGGCTGAGATGGGGGAGGGGCATTGGAGGACGCAGGTGCTCCGTGGAATGTCCACTGTGAGGTACCACGTTCCGGGGCCAGGGATTGGTGGAGAGGGAGTATAAAGCACTAGGGTTGCTTAGGCAGCACCCAAACAGGAGAAGATTTGGTGGAAACCAGAGCCCTGGTCTCCGTCTAATTGCTTCTGAGCCTCCCGCTTTCTTGCCCCACGTGTCCTGTGGCTTCCCTGATAGACTTTCTCCCTGACTTGTAGCTGAACCTCCCACTCGCACTTGAAGACTTAGTTTCAACCGGATCCTTTCCTAGACTCCTTTCTCCTCCCCCTCCTCCAGGTGCCCGGCATCCCCGTTCCCCTCCCTGCCCTTCCCTCCCATCCCCCTCCCCAACTCAGATCCTGCCCCATCCCCATCCCCTTCCCTCCCTCAGCCCTAAGCCACCCCCACCTCTGTCCTGGCCGCGCTGAGAGGACCAGGCCATGCGGGTGCCGTGGCTGCTCTTCTGGCTCCTCCTGCTGGGGTTTCCCAGCCATCAATCCACCCATGTGAGTAGACGCTGGGCCCTCAGGGTTTCTTCCTTGTTATTGGGCTGTGTCACGTGGCATATTACACAATGCGGGGCTGTAAATTAGCGCGTTGGGGGGTTAAGGTGGGCAGATCACCTGAGTCCAGGAGTTCAAGACTAGCCTGGGCATCGTAGCCAAACCCCATCTCTACAAAAGATTCCAAAAATGATTAGTCAGATGTCTACTGCACTCTTGTCTCAAACAAAACCAAAACAAAGTGAAATGTCATTTGAGTTTTGTGTCATCTGGTTTGATGACTTTTGAGGAACTTCTGTGTCATCCCTGTCTTCTGCTCTTGGGGGCTGCCTCTAGGGAGTCTGCGTCCAGTCAGTGTGATGGGAGCTGAGAAGCCCATCAGATGGAGAGGAAAGGGCTGCACCTGCTGGGAGGTTTGCAATGCGGGAGTCACTAGGAGTGATGTGACCAGGATGTGAGGGAGGACTGTATTGTCCTTGGTTTTGTAAAATATGTATGGTGCAGATCACTGATTGACCCAAAGGAGAAAGGGTCTTCGAGTCCTTATGTTATTTAAATATAAAGAAATGACAGGCCTGGTGTGGTGGCTCACTGAGAGGCTGAGGCTGGCAGATCAGTTGAGGTCAGGAGTTCCAGACCAGCCTGACCAACATGGTGAAATGCTGTCTCTACTAAAAATATAAAAATTAGTCAGGCGTGGTGGCAGGTCCCTGTAATACCAGCTACTCAGGAGGCTGAGGCAGGAGAATGGCTTGAACCCAGGTGGCGGAGGTTGCAGTGAGCTGAGATTGCATCACTGCACTCCAGTCTGGGCGACTGAGTGGGACACTGTCTCAAAAAAAAAAGAAAAAAAGGTTTTCTTTTTGTAATTTTTGTGTTTTTTTTGTAATTTTTGTTTGTTTTTTTGAGGCAAAGTCTCCTTTTTGTCTCCCAGGCTGGAGTGCAATAGTGCGACATTGGCTCACTGCAACCTCTGCCTCCCTGGTTCAAGCGATTCTTCTGTCTCAGCCTCCTGAGTAGCTGCAATTCCAGGCACCTGCCACCATACCTGACTAATTTTTGTATTTTTGGTAGAGATGAGGTTTCACCATTTTGGCCATGCTGGTCTGGAACTCCTGACCTCAGGTGATCCCCTAGTCTCACTCTCCAAGAGTGAAGGGATTACAGGCATCAGCCACCACGCCTGGCCTTTTTGTGATATTATTTATACCATTGCTATTGTTAGGGTTAGTGTATTTTGTATGTGGCCTAAGACAAGTTTCCTCCTTTTAATATTGCCCAGGAAAGTGAAAAATCTGGATATCCCTGCTTTATGTCAAGAAAAAAAAAGACACTGTACATTTAGAATGCCTAAACACACTACCAGCCATGCAAAGAACATGAGACTGGTAACTTCCAGTCTTTTTTGAATCAGTGGAATCCCCTGGTGATATCTGAGGGGTGTGGTTACCTCTTGGAGGAGGTTGATGGTTTCTAAGGTTTATTATTTTTTACTGAAATATTGTAAATGTCACTGACCTTTTCATTATTTCAACTATTATTATTCCAGGCCATCAGTTTTCCACCTGATTTTTTGTATCCTGGGCATGACTTTCTTGGCGTTCTATGGATGCTTTTCACTATTGTGTTTCTGGGAGTTTCTACAGTTGGCCTTTTCCTCCGAAAAATTAGCTTCTGTGTGAGTATACTAACTTCCTGTAGAGGTCTACTTGTAATCACACATAAGAAGAAATTATTTCAAACAATTCATGGTCTGGTCTTTATTATGAATATTGGGTTTTACCAAAAACATCAGAGAAATAATTTATTAGCACAAGAATTATTAAAATATTTGCCATTTACATTATTAAATTAAATAGATTGGTGTTTGTCTCATAGAATATCAACAGAGATTTGGGTCAAAACTAAGGTTTTTTTTTTTGTTCGTTTTGTTTTTTAACCTTTGTGATCTTTATCAGAAATGGAGTATGACGTTTTGGCAGTTAAATAGGAAATTCTGTCTAAACGTTTCTGCTTTATAATTCTTTCGTATGGCTGGAAGGTAAGCTTTCACTCTCCTCTCTAAAGATTCACTGCAGAAACTAACAACAGACAGCTTAACAGGAGAAGAAAATCATAGAAGAGGCATAAACATGGGAGCCAGCCGAAAAATGAGACTGCAAGAAGGGTCAGATGGTTGATGCTAAAAGGGCACCCTCTTTTCAGGGGAGAGGAAGATAGATGGAGATGGAGGCAATTTGGAGGGGGAGTAAGTGCTTTTTAGGGGAACTGAAAGAGCCCAAGGAACAAAGTTGGCCTGAGACAAAGTTCCTCTGAGATCATGGGGAAGAGGCGACAAACTGCAGGACGGTGAAGGGCAGAGCCGCACTGCCTCTCGTGATGCAGAGAAACCCCAGAGAATCTGTTGGAACTGCCCTTCAGAGAATCAATGAAGAGTGTGTCCGGGCAGTATAATTTCAAATGACATCATCCAAGTGCGTGTTCCCGGTCGCAGCTGGAGAGGGATCAGTATGTCCGAAGTCTGTACTTGATAGGAATTTGGCTGCTAAGTTTTGTCATCATTTGAGCCTTTTTGTCTGTTGGGTAAAGTGAGCTCTCCACTTTCTCTTGCCTTTCATGACAGTAAAACGTGGCTGTCTGGGGGCTGACCTTCCTTTTGAACAATGATCCAAGAAAAAAGCACTAATCCCACAATGCTTTTTATATTCAAGGGAAGAGGAAGTATGTTTTATTTTTACAACCTAGAAAATTACCCGCCATTCGGGACTGCCTTTCTCCATTTTTTTTTTTTTGAAATGGAGTCACACTCTCTGGCCCAGGTTGGAGTACAGTGGCACAATCTCAGCTCACTGCAACCTCTGCCTCCTAGGTTCCGGTGAGTCTTCTGCCCCAGCCTCCCAAGTAGCTGGAACTACAGGCATGTACCACCATGCCTGGCTAATTTTTGTATTTTTGGTAGAGACAGGATTTCCCCATTTTTGCCAGGCTGGTCTTGAGCTCTGAACTCAGGTGATCCACCTGGCTCGGCCTCCCAAAGTGCTGGGATTACACTTGTGGGCCACCATGCCCTGCCGCATCTAACAGTCTCTACCCCACCTAGTCCTGAGCAGAGAATTGTCAATATAAGTTGGGGGAAGTTTTCTCTTTTTTTTTTTTGACAGTCTGGCTCTGTCACCCAGCCTGGAATATAATGGTGTGATCTTGGTCACTGCAACCTCTACCTCATGTGTTTAAGTGATTCTCCTGCCTTAAAACCCCACGAACGGCTGGAATGATGGGTGGTCACCACCACACACAGCTAATTTTTGTACTGTTAGTAGAGATGGGGTTTTACCATGTTTGCCAGGCTGGTCTCAAACTCCCAATCTCAAGTGATCCACCCACCTCAGCCTCTCAAAGTGCTGGGATTACAAGCATGAGCCACCACGCCTGGGGAGGGGATTTTTTTAATGTACCACTTTTGATTTTAACTAAATTACCTGTGAGTTAAAATCAGAAAAATCAAATTCTATAAAGAACTTGAAAGATGTTCTTTCAGGCTGGGCGTGGTGGCTTTTTCAGGTCACCTCTTCTGCAAGAAAGGCTCTTGACAACTGGCTAAGTTTTGTTTGTTTGTTTTCCTTGCTTTTGGGCATAGTCTGCCAGATGAGGACGTGGATGTATTTTTCTCCCCACAGCTCTGTGCTCAAGCCTTGGAGAGGGAGATGGCAGAGAGCAAGGCTGCCTACAAGCAGCACAGGTAGGTCGTTGTGATGGATTTTTTTTCTTTTTGAGCCTGAGTCTCTGTCGCTCAGGCTGGAGTGCAGTGGCAAAATCTCAGCTCACTGCAACCTCCACCTCCCAGGTTCAAGCAGTTCTCTGCGTCAGGCTCCCGAGTAGATGGAATTAAAAGCATGTGCCACTATGCCTGCCTTTTTCTTATTTTTAGTAGAGACAGTTTCTCCATGTTGGTCAGGCTGGTCTCAAACTCCCTACCTTTGGTGATCTGCCCACCTCAGCCTCCCAAAGTGCTGGGATTGCAGGCATGCGCCACTGCACTCAGTTGTTACGGTCATTTTTAAAGGATGTTTTTGTTTTAAGATGAAGCTTTGACCGAGGCAGGTGGATTACCAGAGGTCAGCAGTTCAAGACCAACCTGGCCAACATGGTGAAACCCTGTCTCTAAAAAAAAAAAAAAAAAAAAAATGATGAAGCTTTAAGTGTCTAGGAAAGAACGTGGCGTTTTAATTCTTCTTCAAGTCAATTCTTTCTTTGCCTTCTAGATGGGAAATGAGGAAAAAGAAGAGAGTGCCAGGGAGACACATGAGTGAGGAGCCAGCCCAGAAACGCCTGTGCCTGAACAACGCCTTCTGGCGAGGTAGGAGCTCCCGTGAAGGCAGCCGCTTAGTTTCTGCTGCACAGTCCACACACCCTGCTTCTCCTTTTGGGGGTGAGGGCTCAGGTGGGGTAATTGTCATGTTTCCTGGAAACAGTTCCAAGCACTTATGAAGAGAACCGTTGTCCCGCTGGGGGGCAGGACCCCATTTTTCTCAGGTGCCCTAGCTGAATGGCTCTTGGCTGGTCCTGTGTGAATGGTGGAGCTCAGACCCCTCCACTGACTGTGGACTTTGCCCCCCACTGACGTCGTGGTTACTTTTAACTGTGAAGATGAGCCTACAAGGCAAATGGGCCAGCTCCTCTTCCCACCTTGAGTCAGTGTGAAGGCTTTGTTTTTCTTTCATTTGAGAAAAGTAACAACAATAGCATTTTAGAATGGGAGCTGTAAGTGCTGATGACAGCAGAGATTTTCGGGCAATGTCTTCATGGATCAATAAAGCAGTACATGAGATCTGCTTTAAGAAAAGAAGCATTTATTTGCACTTTTGGGAACTTCCTTCATTCTTTTTGCTTGCTTAAATTGTTTATTGTGAACTATATAACTGATTTAGTAAGCTAAATTTCTATGTAGTCTTACTCCTCTAACATTTGAAGTGTGACCCTAAAACTTTCCAGTTCATTTCTTTCTTTCTTTTCTTTCCTTTTCTTTTTGAAAACCTTGCTCTGTCACCCAGGCTGAAGTGCAGTGGCGCAGTTTTTGCTTACTGCAACCTCTGCCTCCTAAGTTCAAGCAATTCTCCTGCCTCAGCCTCCCAAGTGGCTGGGATTACATGCGCCTGCCACCATGCCTGGCAAATTTGTTCTTGTTGTATTTTTAGTAGAGACAGAGTTTCACCATGTTGGTCAGGCTTGTCTCTAACTCTTGACCTCAAGTGGTCTGCCCACCTCAGCCTTGCAAAGTTCTGGGATTACAGGTGCGAGCCACCGCACCCGGCCCCCATTTAATTTCTGCAGTGCTTACCTTTTCTCATGACTGTTAGTCTCTTTCATTTCTGTTCATAAATATTGACAATGCCTGTTGAGATATGGAGGTTAGATTCACTATGAATCCACAGGATTTCAAATGCCCCTACAGCTTGAAGGAAAGGAGCAGTGCTGCTCCTGTCCTGGGCCTATAGATGTTCTTCCCAGCCATGGCTGTTTCTATTTTAATTTGGAGTCTGTGCTCACATGATGGGTGATTTCCTTTGATGTGTACTGGGAACCCCTGATTTAAAGCTCATTTCCAGCTGGTTAGAGCCCGACTTGTCCACAGCCTGTTGAGAGTTAAGAAAACCCCTGGCCAGGACTCTGCAGTATCTTCCTCAAGGCTCAGGCCCAGAGGGCTCCGGGATCCTCTGATGCATCTGTTCAGTTAACTCTGCACCTCTGGTAAGGGACCTGAGTGTGGCAAAGAGAGTGAGATGGCAGCAGAGGGCGTGGAGGGTTTCTTATCCTGCACAGAACATGTGAGCCAGATTTAGCCCCATTCCCTTCTCTTACCCTTAGCAGATTCAGGACCTCATTTGGTTCCCGTGAGGAGCAGCAGCTGCGTCCCTAGAGAAAACATAGAGAAGACAAAGGTAAATGCTGGGGTCATTTTCACTCTGCCTGTATCAGGACACTGTAGTCTTTTCCTCTCTCGTCCTCTCCTGACCTGGCCTCTGCTATGTAGGTTCTGTGATGCCTTTTCTGTCGGGACTTTTCAGAAGCAAAATGTTTCCCATAAGCTTTCTGGCTTCTTCATTCCCAGCTATTCATCTTGGGTGGCACCTCCAGAAGCCATAAATGCTTAGGGACTGAGGGCTGAAGGGCTTTTACTGTTCTGTTTCCAAAATAACATGAGGAATGCCACTGACCTCCACTTTCTTAGGTCTCATGGCCCAGTGAACTCTGACTGATCTTTTACTCAAGGTGTTGTGGGGTCTATTTCTGAATTATTGGGGTTTCCTTTTATTTTGCTGTGATTTTGTTTGTTTTTTTCTGTAAGGTAGGTGAGTGACATTTGAAATATCTGCTGTATTCCCAGAAGTGATGAAAGTGAAAACTCATTAATCCAACATAAATATGTGCTTTGTGCAATTTTGAATGCTCATTGTCAAGGTCAATTCTGTAGTTTATCACAGTCCTATTCCTGTTGGTAACTGTGTTGTGCAAAAGCGCCTTCACCCCCATTTGGTGGTGCCCCTATCTAACATTCTAAGTGTCAGAGTTTCCGTATTTGTAGTAAAAACTATGCCTCGATTGTGAGTTAGTGAAAGTGAGTGTAACCTATTACCCACAGCGACAATTCCCAACCAAGGCCTTAAATGATGCTCAGCTATGCTGGTTCTCGTGTGGCCTCTGTACCTTCAACAGCTGCCGAGTCCTGTGATTACACATGATGGGAACTGTGCACTTGAAATTAAACACATTTCTAAAACTTGCTTTTTTGAGAATTCCCACCTTATTTTACCCTGGACAAAAGTATTATTTAAGTCATAATGCACTTAAAATTTGTATTACCTGGAAGTTAAAAGAAATACTCTAGCCATGCCTAACTGACTTCTGTATGTCAGATTGTTCTGTCAGAAAACCCTCTCCCAGTTTCCCTGCTTGTCATCAAGAATCCACATTACCCCAGAGCCATCTGTGCTCATGGGGTCACCCCCAGAGTGAAGAAGACCCTTTGTCCAGAAGGGAATCAGAGGGAAAATGAGAGGGTCCTGCAGGCAGAGCTGCAATAGACTTCCACTCTGCCTCCTGCAAGCTCTGTGACCCTGGGCACATGTTCTTCTTCCTCGAGGAGCCTCTGTTTTCTTCGATTTGGAGCAGGGTGGTCACACTGCCTTGCAGAGTTCTGAGATTCAGAGACAGAACATAAAAGGCCTGGAGAACATTCTCCAACAAGAAGCTGTAACGCATGTGTGGACAATGGGCTTTTCATGCCTCTCTTACTGGCTATTTATCTGATGCAAAGAACATGCTCCGGTGATGGCAGTGAGGGAGGAATGAGAATGGACAGAGACACTCCCGTGTCTGAAACACGCTTCTTCCTTACTGCGCTATGACTCTGTCTTCCCTGGGGCAGACCCCCAGCCTGCCTACATTTGCAGACAGACGCAGTGGCATGTGGAGAAAACAGTTTGTCCCAAGGACTCTTCTTCCCTCCCCAGCTATGTGTGGTACTTAGTGGAAGGGTGACTTCATGACACTGATACTGCTGTTTTGAAACCCGGAGGATGGAAAGGTGCAAAAACCTGTCAGCAGCAACATAAGGTTCAGCCTGTGTTGGTGATGGTGGTTCTGTCCATCAAATTAATACATATCAGAACAATTCCTCCTTCTGCCTGCAGGTTAATATGGCTGCAGCACAGCATCATCATTGCTCAGGATTGCCCTACTCGCCCTACCTCATGGCTGGCCGTTCAGGACCACCGATGGCTTGCCCGCCACCTCCT